TCCCATTTGCTAGTGTTTGAATCCTTGATTAATTGACTATGGTGGAATCTGCAAAGTCCTCTTATAAAGTTACTATTGTTTTGAAGTTAATATTTTAACCTGGTTATTAGTAGGTATCATTTGAGTAGGTATTTTGATGATATATAAACATAACTTTTTCCTTATTAGCCTTTCAGCCACTATATTTAACATCCATTGGTGATTCTTTTTTTACTTTCCCTTTTTTTGTCAATTATATTCTTTGATTATACTGTTACAGTTGTCCCCATTTTTCCCAATTTTGCTCCCTCCACCCAGCACCTCCCACTCCCTCAGGAAATCCCCACTCCTTTGTTTACATCCATGGGTCATGCATATAAATTCTTTGGCTGCTCCATTTCCTTACCTTTATATCCCCATGGCTATTCTTTAACTACCTGTTTGTACTTAATTCTCTCACCTCTTCATCCATTTTCCCCACATTCCCCTCCCATCTGGCAATCATCAGCATACTCTCCATATCCATTATTCTGTCTCTCCTCTTTTTCTTTGCCTAGTTTGTTTTTCATATTCAATTGTTGATAGATCTGTACTTATTGCCATTTTATTCTCCACAGTTTTTCTCTTCTTCTTTTTCTTAAATAAGTCCTGTCAACATTTCATATAATAATGGCTTGGCGATAAAGAACTCCTTTAGTTTTTTCTGTCTGGGAAGCTCTTTATCTGCCTTTTGATTCTAAATGATAGCCTTGCTGGGTACAGCAATGTGGGCTGTAGGTCCCTGCTTTTATTGACTTTGAGTATTTCTTCCAATCCTTGCTAGCCTGCAAAGTTTCTTTTGAGAAATCAGTTGATAGTCTTATGGGAACTCCTTTGTAGGTGACTGCCTGCTTTTAAGATTCTCCCTTTATATTTAACCTTTGGCATTTTAATGAGATGTGCCTTCAAGTGGGCCTCTTTGCATCCATCTTGTTTGGGACTCTCTGTGGTTTTTGGACAGGCATGTCTATTTCCTTCACCAAATAATGGAAATTCTTTTTCATTATTTTTTCCAAATAGATTTTCAATTTCTTATTTTTTCTCTTCTCCTTCTGGCACTCCACATGTGAATGTCAAACATTTGAGGTTGCTACAGAGGCTCCTTAAAGTATCCTCAGTTTATTTTTTGATTCCTGTTTCTTCTTGTTGTTTTCTATTTCCTTAAGTCCCAAATCACCAATTTGATTCTCAGCTTCATCCACTCTGCTGTTATTTCCCTGGAAATTGTCCTTTATTTCAGTTAGTGTATCCTTTGTGTCTTAATGGATCTTTTTTATTCTGTTGAAGTCTTTACTGAGTTCCTTGAGCAGCCTTATAACCAGTATTTTGAACTCTGCATCTGACAGAGTGCTTATCATCATTTTGTTTATTTTTTTTGGCGTTTTATTCTGCTCTTTGATTTGGGCCTTGTTTCTTTCTCTACTCATTTTGGCAGCCTTCCTGTGTTTGTTTTTGTGTATCAGGTAGAGCTACTATGACTCCCTGTATTAGCAGAGTGGCTTAATGTTATAGGTGTCCGGTACAGTCCCTTAGCACAGCTTCTTCTGTCACCCAAGCTGGGTACTTGAGGTGTGCAGTTCATGTGGGCCAAGTATAATATCTTCTTGTAGTTGAGCCTTGGTTGCTGCTGGCAGTTTAATGGGGATGATTTCTGCAGGCCAGTCACCTACAAGGATTGGCTGTGACCACTTACCACAAACCTCCACCCTGTGTGTGGGATCAGCTGTGCAGGACCAAGGAGATGGTGCTCTGACTTGGTCTGTAGCTGTCCACTGGATACATAGGCTTTGAGAGTTCTCATGTTGTGGAAGACAAGGTTTGCCACCTTGTGTGTTCTGCCTGAAGCTACCCTGCATGAGGTATAATGCAATTTGAGATGACTACTGTAGGGGACCGGTTCGTCTTGGCCTGGCAAATGTGACTCAGCTCTGTATGGAAAACCTATGGATGTGAAGTGGTGGGCAGGGGCCAGACCTTCAAACTGAGTTTTCCCATGGGAATCAGGCCTAGAAAATGCATACAGATTGTTATGGCTTGCTCTTGCTAAAACTCCATCACCCTGGTCTAAAACAACAAATGTGTATTGTCTATCTTCAAAGTAACTTCCAAAGCCTGTATGAGTTCTCCCAAAGACAGAGCTAATGAGCTCATCATCATTCCCCTTTGCATGTTATTTTTATTTCCTTGATTGTACCTAGAACGTAGACAATAATATTTTATGTGATAGATAATAAATCTTTCTATGATGTAAGACCCCAGGAAAACAATAAAAGCCTGTCTAGGCAAGGGTCGGGGTGCTCCCCTCTTGAGGGAGTGGCCGAGGCACCGTAGGCACTCTCCCCTTGAGAAAGTAGTCGTGCCTGTTCGCTTTTTCCACACATCATTGTTGTCGCCTGTGAATGATTCTCATTGTAAACCACAACAGGCGGACTCTGCTGGACAGGGTCTGCAACACACTACTACCTGTGCTGGGCTTGGAGCTTCTCAGGCAAAGCTGATCTCTGAATCAAGTCTGGCTGCTGCTAGTGCCAAGCATTGGGCCACTTAGCAAGAAGTATGGGGGATGGTGGCTCACTGAGGCTGGCTGTTGCTTGTTTGAGATGATTAGGAAGTTGTGAAGCATGAGGCAAGACCAGCCATTCATATGGAAAAGCCACTGTTAACAGCTTGGGTGGGCCCATAAGTTGGGTGAGACAGAGTGTCAGGGGATCTCTAGGGCAGGGCAAACAGTGTAAGGAGGTGATGGAGTCTCAGATATGGCACCCACGTATGAGGTCTGTGGCTTTGTGGAGGGAGGATTCAGAAAAGGGACAGTGGGCTCTGCCTGCCTTTTTGTCTGGAAGAAAACTGTTCCCCAGCTCTCACCTTGATGCCAGACACTTCAGTTTCTCCCAGTATGCCACTGGTGCCTCTCCAACTGCTAACCTTATGGTGCTGGAGCCCAGAGGGAGTGAGCCTAAATCTGTATGTGTTTTCTTGAAGAGGAGGTGCTTGGGACTCTAGAAGTTTCTTCCCTCAACTCAATCTTCACTGATGTTTGCAAACAAAAATTATGGAGAGATGTCTTCCTGGCACCAGAATTCTGGACTGGGGTCTGTTGGAGGGCTGTTGTGGGGCTGGGACTCCTCAGTCCCGAGACATTCCTCTCAAATTTTTATCCACCACATGTGGATGGGGCACCAGCCTGTTCCAAATCTCTTCCCCTTACACTGGTCTGGATGGATGTGGTTTCTTTAATTCCATAGTTTTCAGACTTCCACTCAACTCAATTTCTGAGAGATCTGAGTGATCATTGTTCTATAGTTCAGTTGTAATTTTGATGTGGTTGTGCAAGGAGAAGAGCTGTGTTTACCTATGCCACCATCTTGATCTCATTGGTGATTATTATATGACAAGATTATCACAAATGTGATGCCCAGATGGTAATTTTACAAATAGTATCTTTTCTTGTATGTTTATTAATTGTGGTCTCTGATGAGAAGGAAGTTATGCTTATTCCCCACTCATTTGTTTTCTATTTGTTTATATCACTATGAACCCATGGATTTTAACTTATTATTTTCTGAGTTATAATCCATTACTATTGCTATTAATTTTGAATCTCTAGGTGTGTTTATTGTTTCCAAGGATTCTAAATAATATCAGAGAAGTCAACTGGAGTATATATATAAAAGGAACACAAGAAGTAAAAAGTAGAAATCAAAGACTAAAGGAATGTTTACCCATGTAGATGGGTCAGGAGTTGGGCAGAAAGAATGAAGGATTGGAACACCATATATATATATCATATAAGTTTCCATTTATTTATAATTTAAAACCTATGAGGTCCAACTGAATTTTCCAATTCTAGTTTAACACCCAAAAGTCCTTTGCAGCTTCTATCAGAGTGAAGAGTCACTCCATTCTCCTCAGTGTTTATTTGTTTGCTGAATCTTTGGATACATGGGAAGTAGTTCAGAATCTTGAACTCATTCCACTGTTAATGACACATTAACAACAGCTTAAGATTTTGTGTCCAATTTTTTTTATTGTGAGAGTATATAAACAAAATTCTGAGTTCAAGAATTACTAGAGTACTTAGATTATTTCCCTCTTTAGTCTAATTGTGGTATTAATGTAAGATATAGTTAGGTGCATTTGTCTTTTTGATTTTATATTGCTTTATTCACCACCTCTTCTATTTATTTTCTAGTTGCAAAAGACAACATGGTCATAACTAGACTAGTAATTATACTCATCTCCCCATGTATTTCATCCACCTTCTCTGGGTAAACCACATCAGTAGTTTCTGATTTATACTTCCTGTGTTTCTTTTTGTTCAAATAGGCAGACATACGTATATTTTATTTCCCCTTAATCTTTACAAAAGCTTCAGTACTAAGTACCCATTTCCACATTGCTTGTTTCCATTTAACAATATATCCAAATGTTTCACCATATTGATTCATAGATATATGTGTTTTTATTCTTTCATAGTTGCAAATTACTCAGTTTCACTGATGCTCTGTAGAGTTTTCTTTAGGGGTCCTAAAATGAGATATCGGTGATGAGTCCTGTAAATGCCACTGAATTGTGTATCTTAGAAAGCTAAAGTGGTCAATGTCATGTTTTGTATATTAAACATTACAGAAAGTAAGAAGTAATCTCTACATACAGCACAGAAAACAATTAAAATACTATTAATGTATGATTAATAAGTTAGTAGAGGGGTGATGGAATATCAAAATATATATAATTAACCAAAAGGGAGGACCACATCAGTAGCAGATCCTGACACTAATCAGTGTGTCTTCATAATACAGTATAAATATACATAAGGAAAAACTGACATATCTCAGCAGAGAAAAAGAAAAATTCATAGTTAAAATTGTGCAACAGGTTTTGCAAAACATTTTGCACATACCTTATAAGAGACGATGAAGAAGTGAAAAATATTGTTTAGGAATAAAGAATTGTAAACACTCCAAGTGGGAAATGTGATCTCATTGACATATTAACTTCTTTAACCTGGTTGACAAATATTCTAAGGCCTGCTTTACATCTCTGTTCCTCAGGCTATAGATGAACGGGTTCAGCATTGGGATGACTACCGTATACATGACTGAAGCAATGATGTCTTTGGAATCCCATGAGGAGGAGAAAAGGTAAACAACAGCAAATGTCCCGTAAAATAAACACACCACAAAGAGATGGGAGCCACAGGTAGAAAAAGCTTTCAACAGTCTCTTAGTGGAGGGAGCCTTCATGATAATAGTCCCTATATGAATGTATGAGCCCAAAATAATAGCTAAAGGCAAGAAAATAAACATTCCTCCCTCAGTGAAGATGACCAGCTCATTGAGGTAGATGTCTGAACAGCTGACCTTCAGGAGCACAGTAAGGTCACAGAAGAAGTGGGTAATAACAGTGTTGGCACAGAAGGACAGTCGGACCAAGAGGACAGTGTGCAACAGTGCATGGGCCCATGCAGTAATCCATGAGGCAGCCAACAGCAGCACACACAACTCCTCCCTCACAATGGTGGTGTAGTGTAGAGGGTGACAGATGGCCACATACCTGTCATATGCCATCATAGCGAGAAGGAAACTGTCAAGAGTAGCAAAAAGTATGAAAAAATACAACTGAGAAATGCATCCCACATAGGAAATGGATTGTTGCCCTGTGTGCATATTCATTAGCATCTTAGGAACAGTGACAGATGACAGAGAAATGTCAGAGAAGGCCAAATGGCTGAGGAAGAAGTACATGGGTGTGTGTAGGTGGGAGTCCAGCCTGATGAGCAGGATGATGAGCAGGTTGCCCAGCACTGTGGTCAGGTACATGCCCAGGAACAGGGTAAAGAACAGGCCCTGCTGCCCTGGAGGGATGGGGAGCCCCAGGAGGATGAACTCGGACAGGCTGCTCTGGTTCCCAGGCCTCATGCTGCTCATCTCTCTGCTGGACATGAGGAAAGTTTGGGACTCTCAGAATCCTGGAAATAAAAACAGGACCATCACATCTCATACTGTAATTTTCTGGAAAAATAATAACATTTTAACTATACCCTTATTAATTTTTTGTACTAGTAAATGTATACATCTCTGCTGTAACCCAGTCTGCTTCCAGGAAAACACTGAACCCAAAAAGAAACCAACAAAACCTCATAGCGCAGAAGCAGGAGGTGTTTACCATTTAATTCAGCCATTACTTATTGAACACAGAGTCTGTGTCGGGACCTCTACTAAGGACTCAGATACACCAGTGAACAGAGAAAGCAACGTCCCCACTTCTGGGAGTTTAGATCTCAATGAACATGGAGGGATAATTTGTACACTGGCCCAGTGAATACACAATTCATGGCAGCAGAATTGGAAGATGAGCCCTGAAAACTTGGATCAGTTGTGTCTGCCTTAAGTAAACATGAGACTCCAGTGCTGAGGAGTTGTTGGAACAACATGACACTCTGCCTTTGAACCTATTAACCCACAGCTGTAAACCGAGGGACACTCCAGAAATTGCTGGCCATTTAAAGGCACTTGATGTTGCAGTAGTTCTGAAACCAGAAAAGTCCACAAACTACCTTTCATGACAGCGCTGAATATTTTGGTGAACATCCGAGTACTGGACTGAGGACTTCACTGCTGTTCCCTAGTTATATCCAGTCATCACCCTTACATCCCCAGATAATACAACCACTTCACAGCTGCAGTAAGAATTTGTGGTCTTTCACCTATTTCAGCTTTTAAGGAATAGAAACATAAGTGATACAAACTCTGTGGGCACTGAGCAGTAAATGACGGGCAGAATGGCACACAGACATGTGTATCTATGTTTATATTATATGCGATACATAATATATAAATGACATATAGGTGTTATCATTTTCTATACATGACAATTACCAAGTATTAGCTGCTTCATGGGGTTCAGTGTAATACATCCTTGTAATCAGCACCCATGCTCTAAACTTCTTCACATGGAAGCTTCCCGTTTGTTGGCTGGGGAGCCAAGCACGGTATATTATTTTACAGCTGTAAGGACTCAAATTGGTCAAAGTTTCCACAGTCTCCTTACTGATTTTTTTCTTCACATTTATATACATTCCAAGTGAGAAAAATTCTCCAATACATACAAATTTTTATACAATAAACAATTAATGAAGACCTCACTATGATTCATAGGATGTGCAATTCTTTCCATTTTGTAGATGTAAACTGAGGCCAAGGATTTAAATAACTTTCCAAGGTCACCACTATTTGAAGGCCATTCTGACCAATAACTTCTCACAGCTGGATTCCTGGCTTTTCTCTTGCCTGGGATGTTTAGTAAAAATAAAGAGTTGCAAATTCTGAGTGACTCAATGACTTCACTCAGGTACATGAATATGACACTGGGTCTGTTTCCAGACACAGGATGTGTTTTGGAGTTGGGTTCTCTCAGCTAATGGTGCCCCAGAAAGAGGACACTTAAAGAAAAATTGAGGTCATTGATGGAAATCACACACACACAGTGCTGATTTGTGAATATTACTTACCTGTTACCAAGTTGCCACCCTAAGAAAAGGAGATCTCATAAACATACATGCACACACATACGAGTCATCAGAAACACACAAATGAGACATACATAAAACACATTGATAGACAAGTCACCTTCGAACACACTGACAATGCACTTCAACACACCTGACTCATGACACACCCAGTAAACAGCTCACCACATACACACTAACACTACACATACATCACCTAAAACACAGAAGGCCACAAACAAAAAATCTCACAAGAAACACACATGAACAGCACATATGCACACCCAGACACACACTCACCACACAAGCAGCACACACCCTCCTATTAAAAATGAGGGCATGCTTCTGCCCTTCTGACCCATCCCCTTCCTGGGGGAAGGCCATCAGCCTGGGGCAGGTTAGTCTATTCAGTCACAGGTGCACTCATTAAACCACCACAACATGGTGTCCACATGGTAAACCACAACGCCATGCACATGGACACACAATAGGCCAATATACAGAGAAAAACAAACAAAACAGCTTCCTGTTCTCACACACCAGTGTGTCACTCACAGACACAGCTCACACATTCACCAGCAAGTACATGCTGCTGAGCAGAGACATGACCCTTCTCTGACCTGACCTTGTCTCCTCTGAGGTCAGGTATCTTCTTGTCTAGCACCAGAGCCAACAATGTCACCTCTGATGCTCAGCTGTGATGCAAGTACTTTCCATCACAGGCATGAATCAGGAGTCCCTAATCACAGGCAAGAGGCTGACAACTTGGTGTCCATGGGCTAAAACAGGGCCAGGTTAGGTCTACCTCAGGAAGAGTCATGCTGTGACTCAGATACCTGTGCACACACATGTGCACACAAATGCAACTTTCAATCAGAATGTACACAAGCATATACAGTACCTGAAGACTCACAGAGACATACGCATAGTCATGAACTTAAAGTCTCATCCATGAATCAACCAACACACAGGCAAAATCTGTCCACCATGCAGATATCCAGCCTCTGTGACCTGTGCTCATCTTTGGTGAGTTGGGACACCTTCTGCTCCAGACTGTTGCCCAGCTCCTCAGGTTCTCCTCAGGAGTCCTAACATTGACACAAATAGAAGAAACATCTAGGGCTGGCACTTCTAAGCACTTTCATTTTGTTTAAGCAGCTCCAGAGAAAAGACTCAACAGATGACCCTACTAATGAGAGACTGACACCCAGTCCCCAAGCTTCTGGCTAATTCTGCCTGCCCTTTGGGGAGCTGGGTGTCCAAGAGCAGAGGGACTAGAGTCTTCGGGGACAGCATCCCCAATTATAGTGATGCCTGGACTCCTTTCTTCTTGGGCATGTGCCAGCCGAGACAAAGAACTTTTCAACTTTTAATTTGGAAATGATTTTAAAGATACAGAAATGTTATAAAACTGATGTCAAGAATTCCTGGAAAGGCTCTACCCTGACTCCCCAATGTTTAATGTTCTACTGTGTTTACCTTCTGTGTGCAGGTATGTATTAATGTGTGTATCTTTCAGGCTTAGACTTTCGCCAGGTATACCACACTGCATATTATAAGAAGACATATGATATTAATTTTCCCATTTGCTAGTGTTTGAATCCTTGATTAATTGACTATGGTGGAATCTGCAAAGTCCTCTTATAAAGTTACTATTGTTTTGAAGTTAATATTTTAACCTGGTTATTAGTTGGTATCATTCGAGTAGGTATTTTGATGATATATAAACATAACTTTTTCCTTATTAGCCTTTCAGCCACTATATTTAACATCCATTGGTGATTCTTTTTTTACTTTCCCTTTTTTGTCAATTATATTCTTTGATTATACTGTTACAGTTGTCCCCATTTTTCCCAATTTTGCTCCCTCCACCCAGCACCTCCCACTCCCTCAGGAAATCCCCACTCCTTTGTTTACATCCATGGGTCATGCATATAAATTCTTTGGCTGCTCCATTTCCTTACCTTTATATCCCCATGGCTATTCTTTAACTACCTGTTTGTACTTAATTCTCTCACCTCTTCATCCATTTTTCCCACATTCCCCTCCCATCTGGCAATCATCAGCATACTCTCCATATCCATTATTCTGTCTCTCCTCTTTTTCTTTGCCTAGTTTGTTTTTCATATTCAATTGTTGATAGATCTGTACTTATTGCCATTTTATTCTCCACAGTTTTTCTCTTCTTCTTTTTCTTAAATAAGTCCTGTCAACATTTCATATAATAATGGTTTGGTGATAAAGAACTCCTTTAGCTTTTTTCTGTCTGGGAAGCTCTTTATCTGCCTTTTGATTCTAAATGATAGCCTTGCTGGGTACAGCAATGTGGGCTGTAGGTCCCTGCTTTTATTGACTTTGAGTATTTCTTCCAATCCTTGCTAGCCTGCAAAGTTTCTTTTGAGAAATCAGTTGATAGTCTTATGGGAACTCCTTTGTAGGTGACTGCCTGCTTTTAAGATTCTCCCTTTATATTTAACCTTTGGCATTTTAATGAGATGTGCCTTCAAGTGGGCCTCTTTGCATCCATCTTGTTTGGGACTCTCTGTGGTTTTTGGACAGGCATGTCTATTTCCTTCACCAAGTAATGGAAATTCTTTTTCATTATTTTTTCCAAATAGATTTTCAATTTCTTATTTTTTCTCTTCTCCTTCTGGCACTCCACATGTGAATGTCAAACATTTGAGGTTGCTACAGAGGCTCCTTAAAGTATCCTCAGTTTATTTTTTGATTCCTGTTTCTTCTTGTTGTTTTCTATTTCCTTAAGTCCCAAATCACCAATTTGATTCTCAGCTTCATCCACTCTGCTGTCGTTTCCCTGGAAATTGTCCTTTATTTCAGTTAGTGTATCCTTTGTGTCTTAATGGATCTTTTTTATTCTGTTGAAGTCTTTACTGAGTTCCTTGAGCAGCCTTATAACCAGTATTTTGAACTCTGCATCTGACAGAGCGCTTATCATCATTTTGGGTTTTTTTTTTGGAGTTTTATTCTGTTCTTTGATTTGGGCCTTGTTTCTTTCTCTACTCATTTTGGCAGCCTTCCTGTGTTTGTTTTTGTGTATCAGGTAGAGCTACTATGACTCCCTGTATTAGCAGAGTGGCTTAATGTTATAGGTGTCCTGTACAGTCCCTTAGCACAGCTTCTTCTGTCACCCAAGCTGGGTACTCGAGGTGTGCAGTTCATGTGGGCCAAGTATAATATCTTCTTGTAGTTGAGCTTTGGTTGCTGCTGGCAGTTTAATGGGGATGATCTCTGACTTGGTCTGTAGCTGTCCACTGGATGCATAGTCTCTGAGGTTTCTCATGTGGTGCAGGACAAGTTTAGCCACCTCCTGTGTTCTGCCTGAAGCTACCTTGCATGAGGTATAATGCAATTTGAGATGACTACTACCTGTGCTGGGCTTGGAGCTTCTCAGGCAAAGCTGATCTCTGAATCAAGTCTGGCTGCTGCTAGTGCCAAGCATTGGGCCACTTAGCAAGAAGTATGGGGGATGGTGGCTCACTGAGGCTGGCTGTTGCTTGTTTAAGATGATTAGGAAGTTGTGAAGCATGAGTCAAGCCATTCATATGGAAAAGCCACTGTTAACAGCTTGGGTGGGCCCATAAGTTGGGTGAGACAGAGTGTCAGGGGATCACTAGGGCAGGGCAAACAGTGTAAGGCAGGTGATGGAGTCTCAGATATGGCATCCACATATGAGGTCTGTGGCTTTGTGGAGGGAGGATTCAGAAAAGGGACAGTGGGCTCTGCCTGCCTTTTTGTCTGGAAGAAAACTGTTCCCCAGCTCTCACCTTGATGCCAGACACTTCAGTTTCTCCCAGTATGCCACTGGTGCCTCTCCAACTGCTAACCTTATGGTGCTGGAGCCCAGAGGGAGTGAGCCTAAATCTGTATGTGTTTTCTTGAAGAGGAAGTGCTTGGGACTCTAGAAGTTTCTTCCCTCAACTCAATCTCCACTGACGTTTGCAGACAGACGTTATGGAGAGATGTCTTCCTGACACCGGAACTGTGGGCTGGGGGGTTGTTGGAGGGCTGTCGGGGGTCTGGGACTCCTCACTCCTGAGACATTCCTCTCAAAGTTTTATCCACCACATGTGGGTGTGGCACCAGCCTGTTCCACATCTCCTCCCCTTACACTGGTCTGGATGGATGTGGTTTCTTTAATTCCGTAGTTCTCAGACTTCCACTCAGCTCAATTCCTGGCACATCTGAGTGATGATTGTTCTCTAGTTCAGTTGCAATTTTGATGTGATTGTGAAAGGAGGATAGGTGTGTTTACGTATGCCACCATGTTGATCTCATTGGTGAGTTTTAAATGAGAAGATTATCACAAATTGATGGCCAGATGGTAATTTTACAAATAGTATTTTTTCTTGTGTGTTCATTAATTATGTTCTCTCATAAGAAGGAAGTTATGCTTATTCCCCACTCATTTGTTTTCTATTTGTTTATATCATTATGGACTCGTGGATTTTTACTTATCAATCTCTGAGTTATAATCCATTACTATTGTTATTCATTTTGAATCTCTGGGTGTGTTTATTGTTTCCAAGGACTCTAAATAATATCAGAGAAGTCAACTGGGGAATATATATAAAAGGAACACAAGAAGTAAAAAATAGAAATCAAAGACTAAAGGAAATTTACTAATGGTGGTGGGTCAGGAGTGGGGCAGAAAGAATGAGGGCTGGGAACAGTGTGTGTGTGTATATAATATATATATCTCATATAAGTTTTTATCTATTTATAGATTTTAAAACCCATGAGCTCAAACGAATATCTTCAATTCTAGTTTAACACCTGAGAGTCCTTTGCAGCTTCTCCTTTTCTATGTGCACAGTACCTTTCCTATGAGAGTGAGGAGTCACTCCCTTTTCCTCAGTGTTTACTTGTTTGCTGAATCTTTGGATACATGGGAAGTATCCAAAGGACTCTTTTACTTATACATGACACTGTTAATGACCCACTACAGCTTAAGACTTTGTTTCTAGTTTCTTTTTATTGTAAGTGTGTATAGAGAAAAGTCTGGGTTCAAGAATTACTAGGGTACTTAGATTATTTCCCTCTTTAGTCTAATTATGGTATTAATTTAAGATATAGTTAGTTTCATTTGTCTTCTTGATTCTATTTTGCTTTATGCACCACCTCTTCTATTTGTTTTCTAGTGGCAAAACACAACATGGTCATAACTATGTTAATAATTATACTCCTCTCCCATCTGTTCTGTCCATCTTCTCTGGGTAATCCAGCTCATTAGTTTCTGATTTATTCTTCCTCTGTTACTTTTTGCTCAATGGGGAAACAGGTGTATTTTATTTCCCTTAATTTTTACAAAAATTTCAGTGCTCTAAGTGCCCTTTGGCACATTCCTTGCTTCTATTTAACTATATATCCAGATGTTTTTCCATATTGATTCATAGATATATTGATTTTTATTTTTTACAGTTGCAAATTACTCAGTTTCATTGATGCTTTGTAGAGGTTCCTAAAATGAGATATTGGTGATGACTCTCATAAATGCCTGAATAGTATATCTTAGAAGGCTAGAGTGGTCAATGTCGTGTTTTGTATGTTAAATATTATTTAAAATTTAAAAAGGAGGTAGGAAGTAATCTCTGCATATAGCACAGAAAAGAATTACAAAATATAATAATGTTTGAGTAATATGTTAGCAGAGGGGTATTGGAATATTGAAATACATGTAAATAATTAAAAGGTAGGAAGACAAGAGAGAGTAAATGTGAGGCAGGTGTATTGCATAGTTATATAGAAAATATAAATTCAAATACATTATGATTACCTTAGATGTCAATATAGAAATAGCTCTGGAAATAACAATTGTTGCTGCACATAAAAAGAACAAAATGTAAGTTTACATACACCATTGACCAAAGGACACCTCACTGACAATTTGGACACAGTAAAGTCTAAAGTGTTAAAAAAAAGTGCCATGTAAAACCTAACATGAGAAAAGCTGCATCTTTACTAGCTATACTATAGTAATACCTATATCTAGATCTATATCTATATATGCACCTGTGTCTACAGACATAAAATATTGATATTAATATAAGAAGTAGATGAACTAATAATGCAGGCCCCATTGCTAGAAATATTTGTATCCAAATCTATATCTATCTTTCTCTATCTGTGTATGCATCTATGTCTATAGATATAAAATATCAATATTAATATGAGATGTAGATGAAGTAATAATACAGAACCCATTGCTAGAAATATCTCCTTATTTTAAACAATGTTGTGTGCTTTAAATGCATTTTTAAAAAGCCTGTCTCTCTTTGGTTAAAAGTTTTGCTTTGTAGCACATATGAATTTTCACAGTATAATTATTCTGATTATGGCTGATTGCAGTCAGCCAGCATGATGTCATTGAATGTGAGTTGGGAAGACATGTGCACAATGAACTTGAAGCTGACAAAAGCCAGCATAAAAGATTCCATTAAAAAAAAGGTAAGTTCACCAGTAGCAGGTCATAATGCTAAGTCAGTGTGTTCTTATAATACAGTATAAGAATACATAAGTAAACACTGACATATCTCAGTGCAGAAAAAGACAAATTCATAGCTAAAACTGTGCAACAGGTTCTGCAAAAGATTTTGCATATACCTTATAAGAGATGATGAACAAGGGAAAAATATTGGTTAGGAATAAAGAATTATAAACAATCCAAGTAGCAAATGTGACCTCATTGACATATTAACTTCTTTAACCCAAATGACAAACATTCTAAGGCCTGCTTTATATCTCTGTTCCTCAGGCTATAGATGAAGGGGTTCAGCATGGGGGCAACTACTGTATACATGACTGAAGCAATTATGTCTTTGGAATCCCATGATGAGGACAAAAAGTAAACACCTACAAGTGTCCCATAGTAGAAAGACACCACAAGAAGATGGGAGCCACAGGTAGAAAAAGCTTTCAAGAGTCTCTTAGTGGAGGGAGCCTTCAGGATGATGGTTCCTATATGGATATAAGAGCCCAAAACAATAGCCAGAGGCAAAAATAAAAGCATTCCTCCCTCAGTGAAGATGACCAGCTTATTGAGGGAGATGTCTGAGCAGCTGAGCTTCAGGAGCACAGTGAGGTCACAGAAGAAGTGGGTGATGACAGCGTCAGCACAGAAGGACAGTCGGACCAAGAGGATGGTGTGCAACAGTGCATGGGCACATGTAGTAATCCATGAGGCAGCCACCAGCAGCACACACAACTCCTCCCTCATGATGGTGTTATAGTGTAGAGGATGACAGATGGCCACGTACCTGTCATATGCCATCACTGCCAAAAGGAGATTATCAGTACAACCAAAAAATATATAAAAATACAGCTGAGAAATACATCCTGGGTAGGAAATGAAGAAGTGATGATTCTGCATGTTCATCAGCATCTTGGGAACAGTGACAGATGAGAAAGAGACATCAGTGAGGGCCAAGTGGCTGAGGAAGAAGTACATGGGTGTGTGCAGGCGGGAGTCCAGCCTGATGAGCAAGATAATGAGCAGGTTACCCAGCACTGTGGTCAGGTACATGCCCAAGAACAGGGCAAAGAACACGCTCTGCTGCCCTGGATTGATGGGGAGCCCCAGGAGGACGAATTCGGACAGGCTGCTCTGGTTCTCAGGCCTCATGCTGCTCTTGTGTCTGCCGAGGATGAAGGAGGTTTGGGAATCTCGGGATCCTAAAAAGACAACCAGGACCATCACATCTCCAATTGTAAAATAATGGGGAAATCATGAATTTCTCTCCTTATTTTTTTATTGTTTACACCATTACAGTTCCCACTTTTTCCCTTTCCTGTGTCCACCTAGCCCACACCTCCCCACTGCCTTAGGCCATCACCACAGAATGGGTCATACATGTATGTTCTTTGGCTAATCACTTCATCTACCAGGTGCCAGTGACCTACAGCTGTAAACTCAGGGACACTTCAAAAATGGGTGACTATTCAAAGCCCTTTGATGCCAGAATAGCTCTGAAACCAGAATAGTCCACAAACTCTTCCATAATAATGCTGGCCATCCTGGGGCCATAAACACTGTGCTGTACACTAAGTTCAGGGCTTTATATACCTTTTATGATCCAACATCAGCCTTACATTCCCAGACTAAAAAATCTTCACAACTGCAGTAAGAGTCAGTATTGTTTCTCTCTTATATTATCTGGTAGGAAATAGAAACATAAAAATGATATAAATCTTATGTGCATATATAAACAGTATGTATTGCCATTTTCTATAGGTTAAGAAATATAAAATTTAGCCAATAATATAATAACTTTGTGTGGTGACAAATAGTTATTTAAATGTTGAATCACCATGTTGTACACACCTGAAACTAGTATTGTATGTAAACTATAATTAGAATAAACTTAATGGGAAAAATTATCAAATATGCAGGTCAGTTTACTACATCTATATGATCAGAGCCCATACTCTTAACTACCACCCATCAACACCTCTCCCATCATTGGTAACACCCTGAGTTACTGTAGGGTTGCAAGCAGTTCAGTATTTTCTTAGATCCCTACCTAGATAGTTCCCTTCATGGATATTGATCTGCTTTCCAATTGAGTAAAGACCATTACATTCATTATCATTTATTCAGAAATACATATTTATTGCACACCCAGCCACAACAAGCAGCATACACCCTACTATTAAACATGAGGGCATGCTTCTGCCTCTTCTGACCCATCTCCTTACTGGGGGAAGGCCATCAGCATGGGGCAGTTAAGCCTATTCAGTCACAGGCACACTGATTAAACTGCCACCAACATCCCATGCTTATGGTCACACAACACAGTAACACATAGAAAACCAAACAATACACCTTTCTGCTCTCACACACCAATGTGTCACCCACAGACACAGCTCACTTGTACACCAGCACACACTGCTGAGCAGAGGTGTGCTGGTGAGCCCTCTCTGACCTGACCTTGGCTCCTATGAGGTCAGTTGTCTTCTTGTCCAGCAACAGAGCCAACAGTGTCACTCCCGATCCTCAGCTGTGATGCAAGTACTTATGATCAGAGGCATGAATCAGGAGTTCCTAATCACATACCAGGAGGCTGATACAGGGGTGTCCAACCTTTTGGCATCTCTGGGCCACACCAGAAGAAGAAGAGTTGTCTTGGGCCACACATTAAATACATTGTAACACATAATCACAAAAAATCTCATAATGTCTTGAGTAAATTTATGATTTTGTGTTGGGCCACATCATAGCCATCCTGAGCTGCATGTGGCCCATAGGCTTCAGGTTGGACACCCTTGATACATACCTTGAAACAGGGCCCAGGTTAGGTCTAACTGAGGAAAAGACTCAGGCTGTGAGTCAGATACACAGCACAAGCACACACATGAAACTACCAAATGGCATGTACACAAGGATGCATATATGATACACAGAGACAGAGAGTATCATAGAGAGGCCCACCTGTCCACACGCAGATACATAGTCAAGTACACATTTACAGCTCCTCCGACCTGAGCTCATCCTTGGTGATCTCAGACTCTTCTGCTCCAGACTGTGGCCTAACTTGTCAGCTTCTCTTCAGGAGACTCAGCACCCAGAAAAAAAAAAGAAGAAATCTCTGTGGCCTCAGTGCTTCTACAGATGTTCATGTTTCTTAACCAACTCCAGAGCAGTGAGCAAAAAGGTAACATTTTAATTACTGATGTGAGGACTGAAACAAAGTCCCCAAGCTTCTGGGTCAGGGAGGAACCACTGCAGGCTAATTGGCATATTTCTGACTGCCCTTTGGGGAGCTGTGTGTCCAGGACCAGAAGGGAATAAAGTCCCAGGGAACAGTGTCCCTGATGCCAGCCAATGCCTTTCTTCTTGGACATGGATCCAGCTGGGACAAAGGATTTTAAAAAAAAAGATTGTAATAATGGCTTGTTTAGAAAGGTGTTGGCCAGTTTGAGGGGAACTGTTATGGGGTGGTGATGCCTAGCAACTGTGGGGAACAGGTGTAAGGGGAGGGGTGGTCATCAGAACCTGGCAAGACATGTAGGTTTAAGAGAGGACCCCTAAACAGGAACTGTGGTTGGCCACTGTCACCCCATGGCCCAGCAGGGAGGACAACAGACTACATGTCCCAACCTCTGTCTCCTTCTGCCTTTGATCTTTTGCTTGTGTTTTCCACTGTGTTGGAAATGTTTGGCCAATCTCAAAGGGTGAGGGATCCCTCTTGATACAGCCCATAAAGGTCCAACTCCTGAGACAAAACAGGGTGGAGAAAGCTGGAGAATGGACCTGGGGCAATCGAGAGCATCTAGCATACACTTCTATAGATAGTACGAGGTCTGTCCAGAAAAAGCTCAGCCATTGTTAATATAATGAACACAGTTTGTGTGACATCAATGTAGCTGGCAGCCAAGGGGAATGAACTGCAATGCATGTACGTGAACAATGATGACTTGATTGTACTAATCAGTGGGGGCAGTAGACACTGTCAAATGAACATGTGTACTGTGTGGCTTTCACATTCAAAATGACTGAGCAAGTAGAGCAATGAATCTGCATCAAATTGTACATTAAGCTTGAACAGTTTCAACCATGGAACTGTTCAACCAATAGTTTCCTCCATGGAAACTATTTAAATGATTCAGAAGGCCACAGCTATGGGCAACTGGTGATTGGCAGCTTCATCACAACAGCATAGCCGCTCATGCATTATGTCTCATGGTGAATTTTTTGGCAAAACACCAAATCACCCAGGTGACTCAGCCCCTCTGCAGCCTGGATTTGGTGCCCCGTGACTTCTGGATTTTCCCAAAACTAAAATAATCTTTGAAAGAGAAGAGATTTCAGACCTCTGATAAGATTCAGGAGAATATTACAGGGCAGCTGATGGTGATTGGGAGAACTGTGTGAGGTCCCAAGGTGCCTACTTTGAAGGGGACTGAGGCATCATTGTCCTATGTACAATGTCTCTTGTATCTTGTATGTTCTTCAGTAAATGTCTTTACTTTTCATATTACCTGGTTAGATACCTTCTTGACAGACCTCATAGATTATTATGAATTCATGATTCTCATATAATCTCTGAGTCATAATCCATTACAGTTATTATTCTTTTTGAATATATTATTATTTCAGATTAGTTCATTTAATATTTATGAGCTAAAGAGCACAACAAATTATAGAACTAATGGTGAAATTAAAATAAAAATGAGGGAAAAGTATTTTTACTCACTAAGTAAGAACATAGGTGTTTCAGAGGTGAATGCTATATTGAGGATTCTGATTTGTGGTATCTGGCTTGAGTGTCCATCCCTTTAGTCATCACACTGTACCATCTTCAACTCAGCCCATTGCATTTTCTCTTGGGCTTCTGAATGCTGCTTCCTTCTGACCTCTTTAAGGAGAATAATTTCTGATAAATCATATGTTTGTACAGAAGAGATACTTGTTTCTGTTGTTTTAGTGCACTCTGTCCCTTTTTCGGTCAAAGGTATATCTTTGCATAAACAAAAATATATCTGGCAAGTAAATTAAAAGTAATGCCATTTGCAATAGCATCAGAAACAATTAAATACTTAGGAATAAGTTTAGCAAAGAGGTGAAAGATTTGTATACTGAAAACTATAAGATATTGAGGAAGAAATCAAAGAAGACACAACTAAATGGAAATATATCCTATACTCGTGTATTGGAAAAGTTAATATTGTTAAAGTATCTGTGCTACCCAGAGTGATCTACAGATTCAATGCTATTCTCATTAAAATTCCAATGATAATTTGTATAGAAATAGAAAAAACATTCCTAAAATTTACAAGGAACCTAAAAGTCCCACAACAGCAAAGGCAATCTAAAAAAATAAGAACAATGCTGTAGGCATCACACTTTTTTATTTCAAACTATACTACAATGCTATAGCAATCAAAACAGTATGTTACTGGCACAGAAATGGACACATAGGTCAATGGCAGAGATTAGAGAGCTGATGCATACATGGTTGACTACTACTTGACAATGGAACCAAGAATACTCAATGAAGGAAAGAGTCTCTTCAAAAAATGGTGCCGAGTTGGTTGGATCAGTTGGTTAGTGCATTGTTCTATACACAAAAAGGAGTTCGATCCCAAGTCAGGGCACATACTTAGGTTGCAAGTTCAATCCTGGGTTAGGGCACATAAGAGAGGCAACAAATCAGTGTTTCTCTCTCACACTGATGTTTCTCTCTCTCTTTCTTTCCCTTCCTTTCTCAAATTAATAAACATACTAAAATTTTTTTAAATGGTGCTGGGAAAACTGGATGTTCACATGCAAAAGAATGAGACTGGGCCCTATCTTATGCCACTCATGAAAATGAACTTGAAATGAATTGAAGACTTAAATGTAAAACCTGAAACCATAAAACTCCTAGAAGAAAACACAGGAGAAAAGCTTCTTGACATTGGTCTTGGCAATGATTTTATGGATATTACACCCAAAACACAAGAAACGAAAGCAAAACAACAAGTGGGACTACATAAAACTAAAAATTCTGCTACACAGCAAAACATTGATCCACAAAATGAAAAGGCAACCTGCAGAATGGGAGAAAATATTTGCAAACCACATATTTGATAAGGAGTTGATATCCAAAATATATAAAGAATTAGTATATCTTAACACCAACT